ACCTTCTAAGGCTCAGGTCAAGGTTGTTTGAATGACTGCATTTTTCCTTACGAACCTGTCCATAGTTGAGATCTCTCTGTCTGGCCAACTTCTAGATTGTATTTTAGTTAGAACATTTAGAGGGCCTTCTCAATGGCCACCCCCAAGCTCTGAAACTCCCTTCCCAGAGACTTTCGACTGGTGTCCTTTTTGACCTCTCTGTGCAAACAGGTAAAGACTTTTCTGTTTAGAAAGACATTTAATGATACATTGTCTCTCCTTAACAGTATGCTAGATCTTGCTCACTGTTGTGCTGGTGTGTATGTGCGTTATGTTTTAATCTGGTTTTAATTTTGTTATAATTTGATTTGTATTTTCTGAATGCGTACCTATGTACCTTTTTGTTTTTAAGCCACTTTGAGTCATATACAGGAAAGACAGAAATATAATAACCACGACCACAACCACTGTAGTAAATCAACTTAACATGATAGTATTGACTCTGATAGGAAACTAGAAACAAAAGGAGCACAAATGTGGATGTTGGTGGACATCTTTAATATGGAGCAAATGTCAACAGTAGTTTCAAGCAAACATTCACGTAAGCCTCAATAATTCCATGAGTTGTTATATAACTTGTTTCCTTGATTATAATAATGTGAAAGCTATTTACCTCAATATTATGATGCCTCATGCTAGAGGCAAGGCATTTATTACCTACCAAAAAAAATCCAAATCTGCAAGAAGGTATGACATAATAATCTTGGTAGGCAAAATATCAGACAGCTGTAAAACATTACAGCATGCTTCCAGATAACATACTTTAAGCTATCTAGAAAAAACTGCACATTTGAGAATGTGTATTAACTTCATGAATTCAGTTCATATATCCATCATATTGTTGGGTCATCATAACCAGTAAGCACTTCAAAGACAAAAAGAATGGACTGCAATGGGATGACATTGGCTTTGATAATGTGCAAGATATTTGAAAGGAAAGAGGAAGCACATGTTTTATCTATTTCATAGGAAATGCAGTTGTATGCATATTTACTTGGAAGTAAATCCAGTTACAACCAAAAAGGGGGAAATTTAGAGAAACAGAAATTTCCTGCGACTTTAGCCAAGACCTTGAGACCTGTTTGTCTTTCTCTTTCTTCAGTAGACCCAATTTTGATGTTTCTATTGGGACTACTGGGGTAATTTGATTGAATACTAACTCAGACCCCTTCCACACAGCTGAATAAAATCTACATTTTCAGCTTTGAACTGGAATATATGGTAATGTGAACAGGATAACCCAGTTCAAAGCAGACATTGTGGGGATTTTCTGTCTTGATATTCTAAGTTATATGGCTGTGTAGAAGGGGTTCTGCTCAAACAAATGAAGTTGAGCAGATAAATTATATAATAATGGTTTTTGAAGAGAACTAAATGAGTTGCTTGTTGTTCAACCCATTACATTTCAATGTATTTGTGAGGGTGCATAAGTTGGTGTCAGTAAGAGGAAAATAACAATTTAATAACTTAAACCCATTTAAATTGTGTTACATTGTCTTCAGCAAAAAAAAAACAAAAACGCACAGCTTATACAATGCCAATGAATAATTTTCAAAATTCTAGGTAAATAGAATTTAACCAAAAATTAGCCAAAAGCCATCATGACATCCAAGTGGAATCTGTATAAGAGGCAACTAAACATTTATCAAATGTAGTCTACAAATATATTGGCTGCCCTACATGGACACCAATTAGGAATGCATGGACTAATGGGGTGGGAGGGTTGAAGAAAACAATTAGATGGTGCCAGAATTATGTCCTTCCTCTTTTCAAAAAACAAAAAACCCCAGAAGATTCATATGCATGATATAAATGAAACAAAGCAAATCTAACCCCCGAAGGAAGGCAGATGTTTGATCAGATCAGATCAGATTGCCAGGTCTCAATGTGTTAGCTGAAGTCTCAGGTTTCTTTAGATTCCTAGGTAGGGAAACAAATCCCAGAGTTGGAGACACTTGAGAAGAAATATTTGGTAATTGATTTTTATATGTGAGCTGGATTTCAAGTTTGGGCATGCATCTCCAGCTATTCCGCATTAGTACCAAAGATCTATGGTTAGCATGAATACTGGTATGTGTGCTGCACTTATGCTGTGTTGATGCATCAAAAACCCCGAGGGATGAATACACAGAGAAAAACTGGATATGTGTACTTGAACTGTTGCACTGTTTGAGGTTAGGCAAGAAGTTGAATGTCAATGGTACAGCTCAAGCTGCCTCAGATTACACAAACCTTGGCAGTAGTCCTGCTGGGTCTAGCATTTTTCTCCTGAACATGGGCAGTGAGCCTTCCATAAATCCCACCAACAGCACAAAGCCTGGAAATGTCATGTAAGGGCATATGGGTTGACAGCCCTGGAGGGACCTACTGGAGCAACTCGGTAATTTTTACTGCCTGCCTTGCTATACTGAAGCAGAACTGCTGAGGAATTGAGGTAATCTATGCAGTTCTTATTCATATATATTTAAATATTTGTGCCCTACCAAAAATCATGAGATGGCTGGGGATTTTACAAGAAAATCAGTTGAGTTGATTTAAAATTGGAAAAAAATTCAAAAAATAAAAACAATTTTAAAACTTCAAAACAATTGAACCTATAGATCCACATAAAATAATTTGGCCAGTCATAATGAGGCAATAGAATGAAACTAATATCAACATCAATTTTGCTTCAAATGAGATGTAACACCTAAGAAGGTCTTTCCCCATGTACACATATAGTGTATTTCTCCAGCTGATGGACAATTTATGGGATGTTCCAATTAGCCTATCTCTACCATAACCCCAAAATGTTGGAAATTGGATTGGATTTTGACATGTTGAACTGTTTCAGCTTTTAAAATTTTTGCTCACTTTAATATTTTAATGTGGCCTTCATTGTTGTTTTATTTGTTGTTTATTGTTTGTTAACTGACTATGGAAAAGCAATATGATTGCCTTTTAACATTTGTTTTTGGATCCTGTGTTGTTAGTACTCCTATTAGTTGTACTAGATGCTATCTGACAAACAACTTAATTGGTTTGAAGAGTAAAACAATGGAGAGTACAAAATTAAGCATTAATAAAATAAATTGCTACAAGATTGTAAAAACAAGGGAAACATGTCTAACTATGTTGCTTCTGTTAGTTATTAAAATATTCCAATTGTAGCCTTCTCTTTATTAAGAAGGCAGAAGTACTGAAAAGATGTGTAAAACAGGGCCTTTCAAATTATTATTTTTATCGCTCATCAATATCCAAGAAAATAATTAAGTATTAACAGAAGAAAAAATGTGAATGAAAAAAATGTTTGTGACATGGTATGATTTACTTCTTTTGCAAAATAAAATAGCTATTCATTTACATTGCTATAATAAGAAACTACAGAAGATAAAGTTTGCTATAAACAGCTGATTTATGGACCATACCTTGTAAAAGTGCATAGGAGATTTTCTTGGAAGTACGATTTCAAAAAATAAAATAAAATAGTTTTGCCAAATGACCATATTGGATATTCAGAAGAGGTGTAACAATTGTTCTCTGTTATCATTTGGCCATCTTATATATATTTTCCATGTAGATATTCCAGAAGAGAATAAGAGGATGCATGCCAGACAACAGGGCAGAAGGCCCAGAACATCAGAAAACACCTCAGTCCACAGCAATGAGCTGAAGTAATGGTCAGCACAGCTCCCCTTTTGAAGCCATAAAAATGAGATGGACTCATGCATAGTTCAGAAAAGGAACAGCAAATTATATATCCCTTTGGAGACTTAATTCACTTCTTTTTGTTGCCAAACTTGATGCTGACCACGAAACTGGCACTTAATTCATATAACTCAGCAGGGAGGAGTCTGTGGGAATCAATGCTTCCTGCTCTCTTGTTTAGTCTATATTACCACAACAGAGTAGAGGAAATTGTGTAACTCCTACCATGACCATCTCTGCACAGAAACATGCATCAGAGAGGCTATAACTCAGATGGCAGGACCTGCAACATAGGGGTGTCTTACTCTGATCTCATACTGTGAACACTCGGAGTACAGGGAGAACTTTGGTGGAAATAAAACATACAGAAAGGTATCAACAGTTTTCTTTTTTTCAGATATTAAGTTGGCAGACTGTTTGAGGCAGAGTACCTTTTTGTACAAAAAGTTTACCAAATTAACATCTATAAAAAGAGTCCTTTGAATTTGTTCTCTGTGGATTGCAATGTGTGTCCTCCTTCCTTCCCTTTGTATGATACATCCATGTGTGGCTGATTCAAATATCTGCCTTCACGACTCTTTGGGAACTGTCAATGGATCAATGTTGACTGGACAAAGGCAGCTCATATTGTGGGGTGCTCATACATTTGCTGTAATGGAAGACTTCCCTTCCATGTTTATGCTAGTGGGGATATTAGCACATAATCTTCATGAAAGAACATGATATATCTGGAACCTAACGATATTATCATCATGTCTTGTCATGCCTTGCCATTGCTTTTGTTTACAGTGTGGCTGTCATGATTGCTCCATTTTGTCTTTTTTGGGATCAGTGTCCACACCCTCCATTGTTCTAGTGTGAACCAGTGTAGGGGACTCAGAAGATGGCGCAGTGCTGTATTTCTCTTCTTGGGCTAAATGGAATTGTTTGCAAGACATCATATTCAGCTATTTGTAACTTGTAAAGGATGCAATTAATTTAAAGTTCAAAATATTTAGCTATTCTCTAGAATGATTTCATGAACCTACTTGCATGTCTTGGTAAGCAGCATAAAAAGAATATATAACTCTTATGATTGCTGGAGAACACAAAACATATTTTGTTTAAAGAGGCAAAAGCAGGAGTCAAAATTCCAAACGTGCCATGTAGATCTTTTAAAGCTGTTCTTTAATCAAAGCAAAGCTACTATTAAGGCCCAACAAAGATTCTGATGAAATAAGTCTTTATAAGGAATTGGTATTCATCAGTTATGGAACAACAATAATCTTAAGTACCTGGTTCTCTTGGGCATTTCTTTCTTTGTACAACACATTTTCTTGTTTCGATTGTATGCGGACATAGTTTGCCTCTTATAGAAGGAAGCTGAATGATTTCTCTGACCCTTGTTTCATTTCCTCTTCTGAAGCCACATATTTTTCCTCTCCTTGTGCAAGGGCTCCATGCACTCCACTCATGAACTTTACAATGTACTGTAACAAAAATATGACAAGAATCAGTCTAGATGCATATCCTTATATATATAAAGAAGCTATATTGCACATTCTTTTTTCCACACACTGCGCATTATGAATTTAATGCATCATTTTTAATATAGCTTCTATGGCTACATTTTGGAATTTGTTATCAAAAGATGACTCATAACTTTGAAGGCCTTTAAAGACAATTAGAAAAAAACAATAGAAGACAAAAGTTTGTTATATATTGATTGTTTTATTGATTGTTTTAACTGCTATAACTGTTTTAATTGCTGTTTTATACGTTATCTGTATTATTGTGTAGGTATCGAATTGTGCCTTTTGTAAGCTGCCCTGAGTCCCCCCTTGGGGGTTGAGAAGGGCGAGGTAGAAGTACACTAAATAATAATAAATAAAAGGTTTTGAGATTATAAACATGTTATGTTATAAAAGGTTTTTATTATCTTCTATGTCAGAGGGTATGTGGATTGTATACCAGTTGTTAGGGAACATAAGTATGTGAGTACTATTTTCTTTATGTCCTGCTTGTGAACATTTCCATACGCGTCTGATTGACCATTTTCAGATTAGGATGCTGGACTGGACAAGTCTTCAGTCTAGCATGATTCTCATCTTTCAGAGATATCCAGCTAGGGAATAATGTGCTCACGCCAATAATACAATATATGAAATAACCCTTGGAATTGTCATGAGGTAGATCCCTATCTTTTGGAAGAGAAATTCTGAAGGTGCATCTGGGGGAAAATATTTTTGATATAGCTCCCATTGTGGTTGACACCTGAAAAAGCTGCCTCTCTATCCAACCAAAATGTCTTAAACTTAAGGTTTATAGTTATTCTGTGCATGCCTGTTTGAATTACATGTCCATACAGGTATGAACAACCAATAGAGCCAACATAACTCCAAATAGAAGGGGTTTGTTTGGGCATATATCCCAAAGACAGAGAATTCACTTACCAATATTGTCGCACTCCATAGTATGATTGTTGGGTTCCAGCCAGTCAGGGCAGTTTTCAAAGCACTTTCCATGGTGTAGATAAAACCCATTTTTACATTTAATGCAGAAATTTTTATTGAAGCAGACTTCACAGTCATCTTTACATTCTAAAACACAAGAAATAAGTAATTACTGCAGCTGTACTCTTGCATGTTTAAATACATAACACATTTGTATCAAATCAGTGTGAGATCATATACACATTAGGGAGCAGCAATTGAAGATGTCAGGAACAGAAATGTCAGTGCTTGATAGGAGACTACTCCTTATTCCATGTCACTGAAGTGATTCAATATGGGCAAATTTGACAGATTCCATCCTATGTGTTTTCCCCTGGTTTCTCCAGTTGTATAGTGATTCCTGAGCTCTGAAGACAATCTTTGCCCATCTTTTTTCCAGATACTTCAGAAACACTTCACTGATGAGACATGACAGATGCAGGGAGAAAGTTCTGTGTCATCTGATGGACTGCATCATCATCATCATCATCATCATCATCATCATCATCATCATTATTACTACTATTTGAAACACAACAAGATGAGTCCACAGCAGACACTCTGCTGGCTGTTGAATTGGATCACATATTGGACACTTCCCAAGTGTCTAGGACTGTGTGATGTATTGGCCAATAATGCGTGCAGATCCCAGTAAGGTGGCCTTCTGCAGCTGGCAGATGGTAATTTTGTCAGCGCCGATTGTGTTTAAGTGCAGGCCAAGGTCTTTAGGCACTGCACCCAGTGTGCCGATCACCACTGGGACCACCTTTGCTGGTTTGTGACAGTTGGATTTTAAATCCTCATATCGTGTCAGCTTTTCCACTTGTTTCTCTGTAATCTTGCTGTCACCTGGAATTGCAACATCAACGATCCATACTTTGTTTTTTAACACGATTGTGAGGTCAGGAGTATTATGCTCCAAAACTCTGTCTGTCTGAATCCGGAAGTCCCAGAGGAGTTTGGCGTGTACATTCTCTGTAACTTTTTCCGGCTTGTGACCCCATCAGTTCTTTGTCACAGGCAGATGGTATTTGTGGCACAAGTTCCAATGAATCACCTGAGCAACGGTGTTGTGCCTCTGCTTGGAGTCTGTCTGCGCGATCTTCTTGCAGCAGCTCGGGATGTGATCTATTGTTTCATCTGCTTCCTTGCAGAGTCTACATTTGAGATCTGTTGTTGACTTTTCAATTCTGGCTTTGATGGCATTGGTTCTAATGGCTTGTTCTTCGGCTGCCAGAATCAGGCCCTCTGTCTCCTTTCTCAAAGTTCCATTTGTGAGCCACAGCCATGTTTTTTCTTTGTCAATTTGGCTCACAATTTTTCCCAGTAACTGTCTATGGAGAGCCTTCTTTTGCCAGTTTTCTCTTCTGCTCTGGATTGTGTTTCTATTTATTTATTTATTTATTTATTTATGCTATTATTATTATTATTTAGGGCTTTTATATCCCGTCCTATCTCAACCTCCGCAGAGGGACTCAGGATGGCTAACAATCCGGCACCCCATGGCCTCCACATCAAAACATAAATATACAATTTAACGGCAATATAATAATAACAACAATATAAAACAGTATAAACAGTATAAAACCATATAAACAATAAAAAACTATATAAAAACAGACAACAAACAGTCAGCGGTCACCGATTTAAATCATTATCCAAGGGCAGTCCATCAGTTCTATATAAGTCAGCATGTCAGTAGGTCAGCCTACTCTCCAAAGGCCTGATCCCATAGCCAGGATTTTACATCATTTCCTGACTGTATTACAAGTGTTTAGAAACCCGGGAAGGGGGGGGGGGTGGCATGTTTGGGTTAGCATCCTAAGATTAAAAAACCTGTCCTGGCAAAATCAGCAGTTATGCACAGTACAGATTGCTTACGATGTACATTACCATAAACCCTGTATCCTGCACACATCCATAGATCTTTTCTACACTTGATATACTTGCTATACTTTCCATACTTACATATATTTGCTGATAATTATTTTTCACAGTTTTGTTGAAAAATGTTTTAGTTCCTTCAGTGTAATTCTATGGCCAACATCCAATGTAAATTGACCATAGACTCGTGCTGGAGGACCTAAAGAATGCTATGGAGGTGTTCTTTCATGTTAAAAATACAGTCTGTCTTTCACATTTAGGGTTTGGCTTTTGCTGATATGGCTATTCACAGTTTTATTAAAATGTTCTCTCAAGAAATCCTAAGATGCAAAAGAAATGCAAAACATAAACTAGTAACTACATATGGTTACTGTCTGAGTAATTATCTCCACCTAAAAATAGGGTTAGGTCCAACTAGTCAAAAATTAATCACAATAGATTATATCAGTGTCTGAAATACTACCGGTAATTCTCACGCTTCTTGGATAGTTTAAAAAATCTAAGGCTTTTCTAATACCTAGATTTATCGGTTTTTTTTAAAAAAATAGTAACTTTCTCATCAACTTACTTATGCACTCATTTCTTTCTGGGGATCGTTGTCCAACATGTCCAGAGGGACAGGATGAAACGCACTTGCCTATCTGTTTAATGTCTCTCCTCTCCAGATGAAAAAAGAGTCGTGGAAAACATGTCATGCATCCATTGTATTCAGAACATGTTGCACATCCTACTGGGCAATCTTGGCTCATATTGCGATACACTAAGAAGAAAAAATACCAGTTATTTTAACTGTGGGATAACATCTGTAAATTGAACACTGAAAACTCATGGTTATGTTTTTTTTCATTTTGTAATTAATAGTAAGTGATTCATTGTGTACATTTTAATGCAAATACTTCTAAATTCTTTTTGAAAGAGAGAATAAAAATAATATATGCTAATATTTGACATGTATTTGGAAGAAAGCAGCACTACGTGAAATAGGGACTGAATTCGGTGACAATTTTCGGTATGTTTACTTGTAAATAAACACCATAAAATCGCTAAAACCAGAATGGTGTGGTGGCTTGAGTGTTGAACTATAACCAATTTAATCATGGAAACTCACTGGATGACCTTGGCCAATACAGTCTCTCAGCCTCAAAGGAAGGCAAAGACAAATTCCCGCTGAACAAAACTTGCCAAGGAAAAATCTTATCACTCAGTTGACATAAGTCAGATGTTACATGAAGGCAAACAACAGCAAATTATTTTATGGGATAAAAATCTGCATCCTTATATAAGAATGTAAATCACATAAAACAGAAACAAACTTTGCTAAGGTAAGTGGAATTTTTTCTCATTTTCCCCAAACTGTATACACACTCAAGCCAAAAACTTTCAGCCTGCCATGATAAGTTACAACAGGGAGAATCAGACTACCTTCTGTTCTACTTCTTAGAAGAGAATTTCAAAATAAGTCCAATTTTCCACTTTCCAGCCGCAGAAGGTGGTAGTCTGGACTAGGTAACAAGAAATTAATCCTGTGGCTTTTTAAGGAGACACCACACTATGAAGTATCCTTCAAGAAAAGATACCTCCTCGCTACCTCTCTATATATATCACAGGCCCTCATCACATTGAGGTCCAAATGGCAGTGGGGTGGTGCACCACCTTGCAGTGGTGAATCTAGTGGGCAGTGGGGGAAACTTGTCATCCACACCTCACATTGCCCTTACCACCTATTCTTCTCAATGAGAACATGGGAAGCCTCCCATGTTCTCGTTTCTCCCTCTTATGACAATTTCACCACAGGTCAGGGACAGAGCCCGCCAGAAGTAGATGTACATAGTTTGACGGGATCTGGTGGCCTCTGTCCCTGAACTGAGGTGAAAATGTTGTAGGACAGGTAAATTTACCCATGCGATGAGGTCATATATCTTCCACCTTTTTCCTAACACAAGATCCAAGATACCATGCAATGCTTTTAAAAGCACAATACAACCCCTGTTAATTTAAAAGTTAAAAAGCAATTAAATAAATTTCTATCAAAAACAAATTAAAAATATTAAGGCATTTTTGCCGATCTTATAATGCTTAGGAAATATGGACTTCAATGACCAGGCTAGGATTTACATATGTCAGTTAATGGTGCAGAGGTATTAAAACATAACTGAAGTCTTAACACTTTTAGTGAAGTAAGCAAGAGTGAGCTATCACAGACAATTCCATATAATAGAGGACTCTGCAGGTTCCAAGTTGTTTTGACTGTCTGGACACAGAAATCTCCTGTTTCATGAAGGCTAGGTAAAATGAGATAAGATGAAAACGGTGTCGGGTAATGTAAAATTGTTAGTTATAGATCAGTTGATCTTAACAGCATATCTTATTTTTCACTTGTGCATTGCTTATCTCTTTCAGAAGGAAAACTATCTTCTACGCTTGATGAAATGTCAACACTGAATCTTAATGTGGGATCTAAATAAAATGTGAACAACCTGCATTGAAGACATACAGGTTTACTGTTACTGACCAGACTCCAAATCCAAGACCTCTTCTGCTGAAGTGTTTGCAATGAAAGTCTTATAAGATTAAGTGGTACTTTTTCAAAAATTCAGATGAGATAACTTTTAACACACTGGGGTTTGCTAGGGAGGTAAATGAAAAGGTCAATTCTCTATCTGACCTCTTTGAAAACTTGTGGGTTTATGCCCAACTTCACCTATTCTAGACCCTTCTGGGGGAGCCTATATGCTTGGTTGTTTTATTTTCCTCAAAGGTACTCTGCTATGAAAGAATTCAGGCGGGCTTCTGCTCAAAACAGGAGCAGAAGTGATTTCTTCATCACTGAGATCTTGTTCTCTTTTTGATGCAGAATGCACACATATTGTTGGCTTTGGTTAGCACATCTCTTTCTCCGATGGTATTCCTGAAAGTGAGATGCACCAATTGTAACCTGTTTTTACTGTGGGCATATGATATTGAGTTGCAATGGCCTTTCCAGATCAAGAGACTTATATCTGATATTAGCTGCACTCTTGGTTGTTATTTATGAGGGGCAGAGATAACTCCCAATGTAGCGATTTCTTCGGTTATCAAAAATAGAGACATGAAGGTGGTGTTGGAAATCTATTGTTGATAGCAATTGAAGATAAAACCATTTCAGTTTCCTGAGGTAGAATATTGATCACAGAAGTATGTTGATTCAGGGGCTCAGAGTACTGAAAGGTCATGAGGTCTATTTCAGAATATGAATAATGTCCATTGTTGGTGGCTATAATCATTCCCATGTAGTGAATTTTCTCGTGTTGGCTCTTTTCTTTTTGGCATTGAGGCACTGGGAGGTTAGAGCTAAGATGGTTTGATGCACTTCCATGAGAACCTATTGATTAATGGAAAATGGAAACACAAATCATGCAGCTACAGAAAAATAACAAAGGCCACCAGGGGAAGGTAGGTAGATCGTATGATATGAAGCACTGCTTCCATCAAATTAGGGCAGACCAAACCTAAGAGGTGCTCACCAATGGCTGCTCTTTATCCTGAAAAAGTAGTGACTTGTTCGGCCTCACAGGCTCTGTCCTGAGCCTAGTGCTATTCAAATCAATTATCACTTGCTTAGATAGAGGAATTCTTAATGAATTTGCAGATGACTCCAAATTAGAAGAGGTACTTACTACCCTAGATGACAAGATCAGAATCCAAAATGACTTAAGCAGACTAGAGAGCTGGGCCAAATCTAACAAACTGAGTTTCAACAGTGAGAAATGTTATGTACTACATTTAGGGAGAAACAAATTGAATGCACAGATATTGTATTGGTGATATCTGGCTTGACAACATAAATGTTAATGGGCTCTGTCTTAGCAGAATATAAGCTGAACATGAGTTGGGGGGAAGGATAGAGAAGCCAATGCAATTCTTGACTGCATCAATAGGACTATAGTATCTAGATTGAGATAATAGTCCCACTCTGTTCTGCTTTGCTCAGAATTCACCTGGCATACTGTGTTCAGTTCTGTGCACCACAATTCAAGAAAGATATTTACAAGCTGCAATGTGTCCAGAAGGGTGACCGAAATCGGAAAAGGTTGGGAAGCCATGCCCTATGAAGAATGGCTTAGGAGTTGAGTATGCTCAGCCTGGCAAAGGGAAAGTTGAGAGATGACATGATTGTTAAAATATTTGAAATGATGTATTATGGACATGTGTTTGCTGCTCTAAACACTAGAACATAGAGCATGGATAAAACCACAGGAAGGGATTTGACCTAAACACCAGAAAGAACTTCCTGATGGTTAGAGGTATTTAAAGTGGGATATTCTGCCTTAGTGTGACAGAATCTTATGCTCTGGAGATTTTTAAACAGAGACTGGATGGCCATCTGTTGGGAATGTACTCCTGTATGGTGAAGGGTTTGACTGTATGTCCCTTCCAATTCTATATTTCTATGATTCTAGGAGATGACTGAAGTCAATCTTGTGTTTGGTTTCAGCTAACAATAGGATGTAAAACAGCCACATCTGTAATCTTAGCTCTTGCCAAGAACTGCAAAAAGTGCAGGTTTCCATCATCTATAAAGACTTCAGTTGTGGTCAATTTATTTACCCCTTGGCATGCTTTATTATTTTCCCAAGGACCATCTGCCAATAATTATTTGGCCCATCTGTAAGAAGTCTGGGCAAAAAAAGGAAGCAGCCAAAATATTAGCTTCAAGTTATCTATGTAATATGATTCTCTGTTTTTTTCTGTTTTGGTAAATCATCCATTTCACTTTAATTCTGCTGAGTTAGTTGGTATTTGACTGAACATTTACTTAAGCCATGTCTTCTCACTACATGCCTAATCAATCTACCAATCAAGTTTATTTATTTATTCATGTATTCATCCTTCCATCCATCCATCCATCCATCCATCCACCCACCCACCCATCCATTTATTTTATACCCCATCTTTCTGGCAGTTTATGACATTGTGCAGAGAAAGGATATCCATCTGACTTAAGTTAGACTGGACCAATCTAAAAGAACTGGCATCCAATGCAGTGATGTTCTTCATGGCATCAACTGCCAGAAAGATGGAATATAAAATAAATGGATAGATGGATAAATAAATAAATCCAATGAGAACATGGGAAGCCTTCTGTGCTCTTTGGGCAGCATCCTAGCATGCTTCCAGGATGCTAGAAGGACAGAGCCCTACTGGGAGTAGCCCTACATCATATGGTGAGCAGGCTCTGTCTTCCAAGCATCCTGGAAGTGTCCTAGGATGCTGAAAATTGGTAATATGATGAGGTCCTCAGAGAGTGCAATGATCTTAGGCCTTAGGGGGCATTTGGCATTTGCTGACCCATAATGTTTATTATTCCTTTCACTAAAATGCAAGTTTGTTAACTGAGGGCCAAATCTTGTGAAACCTAAGAGAGTTACAATTTACTACAGGAATTCACCCACCCATCGACTCTACAGAAATACCCAATAAACCCCATCCTCTTTACCAAATTCTCATTCTTTGGAGACAAGCAGAGAGAGAAACATCCACATTCTGCAATCAGTTATCAAGGAAACACAATTTCTGCAATTGCACATAGACCATATCGGAATGATGCATTATGCATAAAGTCATACACCACAACCAATATTTGTAGGAACAAATCAATCCCTGGCCTTCTGGAACCAAGTTTTTTATTCTTGCTTGTGTTGAAATCCTCTTAGAATCATAGAGTGGGAAGGGACCTTGTGGGCAATCCAGTTCAACCCCTGCCAAGAAGCAGGACAACCA